CTTGCGGAAGCGAAGCATGAACCAACCACATGTTGGCACGGACCTGTCTGAACATAACCCAAGTGGTTGGTGGTAAGGGAAAAGGCAATCTTGGGATGAGAGATAGCATGTGAAAAGCACCAGCGGGTCATCAGTTGTGTCTATACTCTGGATAATGATGTGGTTGCCATCAAAAAAAGCGGTCACCCTTGTGGCCAGGGAAGAAGAAAGAGTATGAGTGGAAGGTTGCTCCAACCCGACCACTTACATTCACCTTTCTTTGGCACTCACACTTTGTTGAATGCAGTCTATGGCTTCCTCCTCTTCCTCTACCGCTAGGTGTTATGGAAGGCTTCCAACCCACCAACTGTTTATGCAGAGCTCTGCTGTTCCTACCCAACATGTAGACATCGGGATGTATTTATCCACAGATGGCTGATGTCTTGCACAAGATGCACCAAGTCTGCCGCGAAAAAAACGACACATAGAACCCAGTGATTTGGACGACAACTTTGCCAATTGGGACCCAGGAAATGGCGAAGATGAGGGGGAGAATTTTGATGAGGGTGATGTGGATGGGCAGGATAGACCTTCCAATGTGGTGTCCAACCTGGACCTACTGGCAACTTGCCAGCGGTACATAAGCTCTGTAAGTTGTTCATTGTGTGTTTCTCATATAAACTAACTTTTCAGGACCACCCTATGCTCATTTGGAGGCAGGAACAGCAGGGCTTCATTAAATAAAAAGTTGCAGCAACTGCTGCACAATAATTAATAACATCTGCAGCAATACCTGTAAAATTATTAATAAAATTTGCAGCTACAGCTGCGAGATTTACAAAAGGGGGTAGTAGCAATTGCTGAGATGTTATCTATTAATTGTACTAGGACCACTGAAGCTCAAGTGCGCCTGAAATTGTGCCAAGAAGAGAAAGTAGGAGTGCATGAGGGACGGGCTGCACTCCACGAGACGAGCACAACAGGGTTTCTAGAATGGGTTTACACATCGAGAAATCACAGTGAGTTGCTAGCCTTCTAATCTACTCATACATACACACTAACTAGTTTGTAGAATACAGATAGGAGTCGACACTGCCAACTCTGCACAACTGACAGCCAACCAGGCCAGCTTGCTTGAGGAGCGGTGTCTCCAAGTCTGGCGGAAACTGTGTGTCTTTCATGACATGCAGCATGTGTATATACCACACGCCACAGCCTTCATCCTGGCCAAGGATGAGCAATGCCGCTGCGAGGACCTTCCTCAGCCGCTGGCGGAGAATGTTTGTCTCTGGATGCCATCTGATTTACCTGCGGATGTGCGGCGGGCTGGATGTGTCGCCAATCTACCCGCCATGGAGTTGCAGCTGCGGGTTGCCCAATGCGACAAAGCCCTGGACGCCATTTGGGGCCACCTACACACCAAAAACACCTCATCAATCGCCACAACAAGAATGTCACCGGCCAGAAGAAGTTGACGTGCTCGTGTACCATCATCGGGCTGGTGGGTGACCACATCGTCATCCAATTCAAGAAATACACGCAAGCCCGCAAGGTGTTATTCAAACTTGGTGGGGTTGAAGAGTTCAGTGTGCGGTTCAAGGTGCTCTTGCAAGAGCATCTCATGCTTGACAGTGACAAGCAGCAGGACCGTGTGACATTGTGGATTTGATTTGCGGGGGACATTCCGGAAGACCACGATCACCGCAGTTTGCATGCATGTAAGTCTGCTGCTTCGAAGATCATCCATTTACTGATCATTTGTATTGGCTGCTAATAGCTGTACGGCGAGAATATCTCAAAGCACGGGCTCGGAAACACTGTTGGGTTGAGGAGGTTTCACTTCTGACAGAGATGTGCCACATCTTGTGTTTTCTCACATGGCACGCTGATTGGTGGATGGATCGGGATACAGATTGGGATGGGGTCCATCCCGACATCGCGGATGGGCTACGTGCATACACCTTGCGCCAAGCGGCAAGCTGCTGCAGCATCACTGAGCACTTCTCTCGCAAGTGGGGCCAGAGGCACAGTGGCACGGGATGCTGCCGCTACAACGAGCACATTATTAGGGCTTGAGGATACCATTATGATGTAAGTGGTGGCAGGGCGGGAGCGTGCCAGCGGGTCCAAGACTTCTAGCTCTGGGCGGATCATATTCAATTGTAGTATTTAGAGTTTAATGAAAAATGCATGACACACACACATTGTCAGCAAATTGTCGGACAGAACCACAGCTGCTGACAGGATTATTAATAAGCCATTGACAGGATGCCGGGCTATGAAGCAGAATACAATGGGTCATATTTACCATGTACACGGCCAATCTGTGCTAAACCTCACAGGGACCTCTTGGCGCCCCTCTTTGATAGGGCCCATTTTATCACCAAAATCACCTATATAGTTTATCATAGATTTTATGTCACACACTTGAGCCTCAGGGGATATGACCTGCCAGGTGTCCAGTAGACTGGCCATTTAGCAGATATCAGATAGATGTCTAGTTGCATAGGTAATTTAGACATAGAACTGGGGTCAGCAGGGATTCTGGTTTGAATGAAATATATCCATTTATTTATGCTACATACAATACATGGTACTAGTACTGTAATGACTATCTGAGATATCTACACATGATTGTGAGAGTGTTGGGATTATGCATTAAGGACACCAAGCCTTCAAAATGGTCTGTGGGCACGGGATTGGGGTGCAGGACGGGAGTGGGAAAGGGAAGGGAAGAATGGGGGGGTGCTGACTACAATGAGGAAGGGAATAATGTTGGGGGGTTGCGTCAATGCATGTGTGGGAGTACTGAGCCTGTGGTAGAAAAATGCAAGGGGTGAGGGCAAAGAACCATGAGTATAGCAATGCATTGGCTCACATGATTCAGAATGACTCCTTGAGCTGAGACAGTGGTCAGACAAGACCTAAGGCGAGGGGAGATGTAGCAGGGGAGAGGAAGGCAGGAGCTGAACTGTGAATGGTGGCAGTTGAAGGGTATGTAAGTTTGGTGTGATGTGTCCCGCGGGACGCCTCTACGGACTTAGCAAAAATTTTTGCTAAGTCTCGTCTGAGGCTCTTAGGTGGGGTGTGACGAGTTGCCCTCCACCACGTGCCACAATATCCATTATTCATTATATTTCCTTCACATCCCATGGTCTTCTGGATCATTCCACGAGAGTCTAGACTATGACATCATTCACCCAGATCGCTCTAGACTTGCTCTAGATCATTATGTCATCCTGATTACCTAATGTCTGACTATTCCAGACCTGCTCTAGGCTCAAGGCCTATTATCAGCACCCGCTTCATCATGCTCACTCAGCGGGCTCCACTTAGCTCCACATTGCGCAGCACACTTACTGATAGTATTACAAAGATTCCCTTAGTATAGGTTTATTCTCTCACAGACTTACCAATCCGCAGTAGGTCTAGTAGTATATAGTTAGTACCCTTTGTACGAGGGAGCTTCTCTAAGTTTTTCTTTTTTGTGATACATCCAATACTAAAGCTCTATCCAACATCACTTCTTTGTGTGACCCAGCCGTATTTCAGTCGGTGGTTGGATATATTAGTCGCAAGGGTTCAATGGGGGTGAAGTTACAATAAGTCCCATTCAAGTGCTATTAGGGGAACGAGCCCTTTTATTCCTCGTGACATGGGGCTTGCGCTGGATGTCTGATTGATGTTGTAGCCCGTATCAATGAGATGTGATACCTTAGAGCATAGTTTAGCCTTCAGCTGAATGCTGTCAGGACGTAAACCTTGGCTTGGTTTGTGATTCAGAGATCACTACAAATTAGGGCCAGTTAGAGCCTATTTACGAGACAGCTGTCACAACAAAGAAAAAGTGTCTGTTAGGTGAGAAAACAGTTGTCATTCTGGTGTGCTAGAAGACGATAAACTATATTTAGCTTAAAATGACCGCTAGTGATTATATTTGCAATCACTTTCTATGGTAACAACCAGTACATTTGGCAAATGCTTACAACTGGGGGTGCTGTTACGAAAAGGCCAATGACGAGACAGATTTCGAAAAGTGCATTGAGGGCCTCAAACAGATCAATGATTACCAAGTGTCAAAATGTGCTCACGTAATGACCAGCCGTGCACCCTTCTCCAAGCTGTCCAGGACTCTCAACACAACCTCTTCCGCTCTGACTGCTGCTTCCTCCTCCACTCACTCTGCATATGTCGCCACACCAAAGCCGCTCACGGATCCAGAGAGGGATTTGCTGAAGGATAATGAGGGGGTGCTATAAATGTCACCTCCCATTTGTTGGCCATAGGTCTGGTCAGTGCGAGACGGGCTTCCCGACCACCATTTTTGTTGTCAATTAGGTGTACATCAACTCGTTCAAGAAGGGTGCTGACAAGTCAAAGGCGGTCGCCGCTGTCGTAAACAAGTATTGTGGTCATGAGAACAACCGCTCCACCCGCTTGTCTGATAGTCATCGTGCACAACGCTCCACTTCCCCTGTCCATACTTCTTCTCGCTTTTCTATCTCTCCCTGCCGCCGTTCACCGTCACAATCTCTACTGCGCTGCCGGTCACATTGTGGATGCGACTCCTACCGCTCTGAGTCCGTAGTCCACTGCCGGTCGCTGCCCATCAAGTATGCTCGCACCAAGGGCCCTGAGGGTTACAACTACTCCTCTTCGCCGGAGTGTGCAGACACGCACCCTGTTGCTGCTGATATTCAGGGCTTGCATTCCGTCCACTTTCTACCTTAACCCCTTTCTTACCTATATTAACTTGCTAAAATGTAACCTTGTTTTGTTATGGGCTTCGCCGCTGAAGTCAGGGTGAAGCTGTGTTCCCTCATACTCCTCTCTAGCCCTACATGCTTGCCTGAGTGAGTGAGAAGGGAGATTAGAACTGCCCCAAAAGTGAATAGTCTTGAAGAGCACTAAGGGATTGTAAAAATGAATGAAGACAAATGATTGTTTGCTTGTAGGTTAAACTGTGGTTGGCTGATTTATAATACTGTTATGCTGGTTACACATGTGGGGTGCAAAAAATCTGACGAGAGTGGGATTCGAACCCACGCCCTTTCGGACCAGATGTACTAGCTATAGTGCTGTTGTAATTCATCCAATGAAATGGTCTCCTTAGTCTGGCGCCTTAGACCACTCGGCCATCTTGCCAGGTTTGCTATTGTAGCTGTTGCCCATCCAATCCCACTGATAAGTTGCACATATTAAAATCAAAATCAAAATCACACATGATCTCCCATCATGAGTTCATGAATACATGTACACCAATACCTTTCCATGAGTGTCATTACCAGTTGTTTAATCAGCTCAATAACTAACTGGGGTCCATAGATACTACCATACTTATTGTCACAAGTTGCCTCTTATCTACATACATACATAGATTACATACATACTTGTGACAATTAGCTATATACAGACATACAGAAGCAAAAGTAATTCACTGAAGAGCAGAAGAAGGAGACCACAGGGACCAAGAGGCAGAAACTGCTGTCAAGTAGATGGAGTGAGGTTGTGCAAGTGTAAGCTTGCAGCTTACAGCATCTGACTGATTGGTGCGTTGTAGCGCACAGAACTAATCATGTTTATGTATATTTGTCCCCGAGCACTATGCTGAGCACTATGCTTGCACTCGGAACCTAAACTAGACTTAGCTTAGCCTCCTCCTATCCCCTTGTTACTAGCTAGTCCTTAATTCCTATAAACTTGTCATGTTTCTTTCTCGTTCTCGTCTCTCTCTCTCTCTCTCTCTCATCTGTAGTTTAGGTTGTCTCCTCCACAAAAGGGAGCAACCTTGCACTTTTTTTGAAACATTGATTAAGTTCAACCCCCCCGTTGTTCTTGATTTTCAACATTATTGTTGATACCGCTGCCGCCACCTACTCGATAGATCTGTTTCACAAAAAGTGGAAGGTTGCTCCCTTTTGTGGGGGAGACAACCTAAACTAGAGACAAGAACAAGAAAAAAACAGGACAAGTTTATGGGAATTAGGGACTAGCTAGTAACAAGGGGAAAAGAGGAAGCTAAGCTAAGGCTAGTTTAGGTTCCGAGTGCAAGCATAGTGCTCAGCATAGTGCTCAGCATAGTGCTCGGGGACAAATATACATAAACATGATTAGTTCTGTGTGCTACAACGCACCAATCAGTCAGATGCTGTATTGGATGTGACCTTCTGTGGGTCACAAAGTTTGAGCTTGTCCAGGGTGACAAGTTTACCCAGCTGCCTGAGGCCGAATTTGCCTGTAAGGAGAATAGGGATGAATAGACAGTCATTGCGCTGCTTGATGCTGTGTATTCTGGATGCAAGGTGATGAGCTCATGGGGCGGAGAGGGTGCTTGCACTTGATGCCCATTGAGCACAGCTTTTTACAGCCACATAGTGTGTGGGAAACAAGAGGGCTTTGGGTGGAGAATCGGACATCAGGGAAGAAATACTTGAGCTGGTGTGTAATGCCAGGTTGCAGAACAAGATACAGGACTGAACGGCTGACATGTACATTGCAATGGTTGATGGATCTATGGCACTCCTGAATGTGATGGTGTGCTTGTACTCAAGGTGTTCTTTTTTGTTTTGTTTTTGATTGTAACCTCCACTCATTCCCTATTGACCCAACTCCCGATACTCTCAGCCTCTACACAGTCTTCATGTGCCACTATATCAGCCTGAGGTATGTCAGTTCATACCTTTCCGGCATCACAAACCAACTCAAGCCTTTCTTCCCTGATGTCTGACTCTCCACCCAAATCCCTCTTGTTTCCCACACACTCTGTGAATTCATCCATATATAGATAATAGTAATTGCTGTGTATTCATTGATTTAGGGGACCAGGTCCACTGGATCATAAACTGCGTGCCCCTGGGGTCAGGCAAGGGGGTGTGAATTGCTGGATGGCAAGACCAGGAGCAGCCACACATGTAGGTCCACTGAAGCGGTGAGGAGGGGTTTGTGTATTGTGTCCACTCCGAGAGAGTTGAACATATTGACAGTGTTCAAGTTGTTGGTATAGATGATGCCACACGATGGCGGCAAGTCAGGAGTGGTAAGGGCTCAATACAGGGCGGAAACTGTGAGAGCTTCATTCTGTTGGAAAAAAATCATCCGGCTTATAATGCTAAAAAGGATTCTGTGATTGGCACTGTCTCATAATGCCTTAAAAACATAGCTTAGTCTCATAAGATTGGGTGTTAGCTAATAATGTCATTTTAAGGTCACTAAATAGTCTAGCCTGCAGTCAATACATATGCCATTGATACCATCACAATTAGTGTGTGAGTCTACTGACTACTGCCCTGACCGGGTCAATGAACTGACTTGAATTGACATCTTCAATTTTGCAATTTTGTATTGCACACTGCACATGCAATTCACAACCAAATTACTTGATTCAAGTGTAGGGTGCTTGGACCAAGTACACCTTTCTTCCCATGTAGTTAGTTCCCCCAAAATGTGATGTTATCATTATGTTCCTTGCATTCCCGGCACCCATATGAAGATTATGTAAGCATTTATCACCCTGTAGAGCATATGCATGCTCTAGGTAGCACATTCGGGGTTTCGGAGCATTCTGGAGCTACTCGGCATCCGTCCCCGTTGTCCAGTTCCCAGGTCCGAGGTGTTTCCTGCACGTCCGAGGTTTTTGATGCTTGTCCGAGGTTTTCCGCCTGTGACCGAGGTTTTCCATCCGTGACCGAGGTTTCCGGCCCAAGCCCGAGCCCCCGTCCGCAGGTACGACTCCCTATCACCCTCGGTTCGAACTCCCAACACCCCCGACACTTTCCTTGCGCTCTACATCTCGGTCCGACGTTTTCCGGAGGTGACCGACATTTCGATGCTGTCATCCTGGACTTTCCAAGCCCCACGGAGGTTTCTGAGGCCCGGACGCCCCGCCCGGGCTCGACTATCACATTACCCAGTACACGAGGTATCACTGCATGCATCAGCGCATCAGCAGGAACTGCAACAGAATGATTCCCGGAACGGACATGAGCTTGTTTCTTTTGTTATGAGTAGATACACAAGGCGGGTTGCAGGCACGAGCTCTGGACCGGTCAGTATTGATGTAGAATATGCTTCGGACATGCCCTCCTTACCTTACAATACATATATGACCTTAGGTCGTCACAATAAATCACCTTGGTTTTCCCTCTAAATTGTGTGTGTCGCGTTTCTGTGTTCCAAACCTTTCCTCTGTGTCTGTGCATGTTCCTGTGTGTTTCAGCGTGTTCCTACCTCCGTTCCGAGCCCCGGACTGAGCCCTTTCAAGCCGGACTGCCCCACAATCACTTCGCTCCGTGTTGTGCATCGAGCCGACTAAGTTTCCCGATGTTTCTCTTTCTCTCAGTGTTTCTCCGTCCGCTGGACCCCGGTCTCTCGTCGTAGCCTTCCGGACATCCCTTCCATTCGTTCCCCATCACATCTGTTCCCCATCCCCTTCATCCCTCACCTGTCCCCCGTCTCAAACAAGACCCTCGGGTTGAACAGGCCTCCGAGTCTCCGGACCCGGACTCTGTCGCAAGCCTTCGGCTTGGTCAAGTGCAGTCCTCACCTCGGACACCCGCACACCACACTAAGAATCTCTACAACCCCTTATAAGCCCTATATAAGGTTGATATAATGTTTGAAAATCAAATTTTAATGTTGGTTCTATCTTGCCAAGATCTGCTGCCAAATCTAATGTCTTTTGACATCACTGCAGCCATTAATCATTGTTCTGGGGTTGCTAGGCAATATAATGTTTGGCCCGTAATTATATTGCACTTCTAAGTGGGAAAAAATGCTAATCCAAGATTTGGACATTATAATGCCAGCAGGAATTTTCCAACATTGAGGAAGAAAATGCTGTGCTTCCCTAGGACCACGAGGTACTGGACACTCGGAGGAGCATCAGGCACCAATAGGCAAACCCTTCTGTTTGTGTTGTCTGGTCCCCATTCAAAGGTGGAAATCAGATGAATACTCTCTGATGATTCAAGCCAGTCAGTGAACCAGTTGACTTTGTGCGAGAGTGACACACTAACCCAAATGGCCTGCCACAAGTGAGCCTTGTCAGTCATTTTTGTGTACATAGCTGAGATACCTGGTCACCAGAGTGGGTCAGTGTTTAACACCCAGTTCATGCTTCTGGTGAGCTGCTGGAACTCACACAACAGTGGCACTGGTCAATGTCGGCAAACACAAGAATAGTGACAAACAGGTCGAGGTGGGAGTCAGGCGGCATGGTGATGGTTATAGTGTTTGTGTTGACTTCAAAGCCGATGATGGTTGGGCATGGACCATATACCTGCTTGGCTTGCTCATGTGGAATACTGAGGCGGTCCCAGAGTAGCAGCAGACAAGTTTGCTATGCCGGGAGGGAGGTGTTGCATGGCCCATAGAACAGCATGTTATCTCCGAGGTCCCAGCTAAAAGTGTTGTTGATGTATGCGAGGAGCTCGAGGATCTGCTCAATGTGGATGGTGATTGAGATTTCAAGCCCAAAGAAAGCACCCCACAGCACCATACCAGCTGAAGTTGTTCCAATGGTCAATGTGGCACCCACCCTCTATCATCACTACCTGGTAAACCTGCCAGAGCGGTGACATGGGAAATAAATGGTACACCTTTGATACATCTGACTTGAATATGACAAGGCAGGTGGTGGCTCCATGGGTGGCTAATGTACTACAGCTAATATAAATTGGTTTATGTGGAGCTGCACTGCACAACAACTGCATGCCGCTGGAGTGAACACGTGGGCTGGCATGTGGCTGGCATGTGGGACTAGCACACAGGCTAGACAGATCTGGTGTGCATGTGGCTGGGTAATGGGTGGCAAGTGCATTGGTGAGCAAGCCTGGGCTGGCTGGCACTTGGTGCTGGTGAATGTGGTGGGAGTGGGTGAGCTCAGTGGAAATGGGTGAGCACAAAGTGGTGTATAGATTCTAGGTGTGGTGCATGAGTGTCCGAGATGAGGACTGCACTTGACCTGGCCAATGTGAGATGGGGTGAGGTGTGGGACGAAGTGGGTGGAGGATGGATGTGATGGGGGACAAATGAAGAGTAGGAGGGCTACAATGAGAGACTGGGGTCCGGAAGATGAAGAAACACTAAGGGAACAGGGGAAACAATAGGAAACTCAGATGGCTCAGTGCACAACATAGAGTGAAGTG